CAAGTAAGAGTAAATTTGAAAATTTCACAAAAGTACAATGCCATTTTGAAAATTAGTGTTTTGTAACTGTATTTTGTAGAGTACCATTGTCCTTTAGTTAAAATTTTAACTTTATCCCTTATGGAGATGACAAAAGTGATATTTGTCTTGTAGTAATATTTACAAAATTGCCTCACAACAGTAACTTTTTTAAAAAATAGGCTACAAAATTAATAAATCCACCATTCACAACTCTCTCTATCTTGAACTTTTGTAATTTGACGGGTCATGAAGTTTAGATTATATATATATGGGTGCAGTTAGCATTCGGATGCATCCGTAGCTGTGGAGGTAAGGTGCACCTTTAAATTTTATCGTGGTATATAATTTTGATATAAATGTTCTTAGGATTATCTAAAAATCTATTTTTATATCTAATTATAAAATTTTAAAATTCCAAATTGGTTAAAATCAAGTAGATCTATAAACATACAAAAATCTTGAAAATGGGCGGTGTAGATAAGATGTTGTAAAATACACTATTTTTGAAACTTAAAATCTTTTTATTTTTGATGGTCATACATTTGGATGTCGAGATGATCAATCAAAGGGTTTTTCAACATTAAAACTACTATATATATATATATATACAAATTCACTTTGAGAAATGCGTGAGATCTCAACAACTCTATAGCGCTGCGCTAAATTCAACGTCAGGTTACGTTCCAATTGTCATTGCGAGTATAAAATGGACTTCAAATACAGTTTCATTCCAATAGTCATTACGGGTATACAATGGACTTCAAATACGAAGTAAATAAGGCTGCAACTTTAACTCTCACAGGAAAAGCAGTTTAGTGACAAAAAAAAACCCTGCAAGTGGATCATTTCCACCTGGATTTGGAATAAAAATGGACTTGAAACATTAAAGCGGTCTATCTTACTACACCCAACCTTCTTCAGGACATTTCCAGATCCCCAACCTTATTCGCTCCCGGATTAGAATATGCAAGTTGTAGATTAGATTTGGGGTCGGGATCATGGATTTCATGTCCGGCTTCGGATCCAAGACCCGGACCCGGATCCGTTCACACCCCTAGTGCAGGTTGTTCATTTGGTAGACAGTGAACTTCCTCTTTCAATAAAATCAATCTTTAAAATGAAGGGCAAATATGTGGAATTCTGTTAACGTTACGCTAAAGGGTTGCAGAAGGTGACACGAATCACCCTTCTCATGGGATTTCTTATGACACGTTCCTCCCTCAATATTACACCTGTAATACTCATGCCACCCCTCTCTCTCTCTCTCTCTCTACA